TCTGGGTCAGAAATGTGATTTCTCGAACCAGAAATCACATTACTGACCCAGAAATCGATTTCTGGACAGTCTCATTTCTTGTCCGAGAAATCAATTTCTGACCCAGAAATCCATTTCTGGGTCAGAAATCGATTTCTGACCCAGAAATCCATTACCCAGAAATCGATTTCTGACCCAGAAATCGATTTCTGACCCAGAAATCACATTTTTGACCCAGAAATCGATTTCTGGATAGTATCATTTCTTGACCCAGAAATCGATTTCTGACCCCAGAAATCGATTTCTGGGACCAGAAATCGATTTCTGACCCAGAAATCACATTTCTGGATAGTCTCATTTCTTGTCCTAGAAATCGATTTCTGACCTAGAAATCAATTTCTATCCCAGAAATCTCATTTCTGACCCAGAAATCGATTTCTGGATAGTATCATTTCTTGACCCAAAAATCGATTTCTGACCCAAAAATCACATTTCTGACCCAGAAATCGATTTCTGGATAGTCTCATTTTTTGTGCTAGAAATCGATTTCTGACGCAAAAATCAATTTGTAGCACAGAAATCATGTTTCTTGGCGAGAAATCAATTTCTAGGTCAGAAATGTAATTTCTGGGCAAGAAATGTGATTTCTTGCCAAGAAATTGATTTCTTGTCAAGAAAAGCGATTTCTTTCCAAGAAATTGATTTCTTGGCAAGAAATGCATTTCTTTACTAACAATTGATTTCCTGTCCATAAATCAATTTCTTGCCAAGAAATCGATTTTCTAGATTAATAGTATCAGAAATGTGATTTCTTGCCCAGAAATTGATTTGATTTCTGGGCAAGAAATACGTTTCTGGGTTATAAATGACATTTCTGGCCTAGAAATCGATTTCTGAGGTAGAAATGTGATATCTGGCCCAGAAATCTATTTCTGGACCAGAAATCCAATTTCTGGACCAGAAATCTATTTCTGTTCCCAGAAATCGATTTCTAGTCCCAGAAATCGATTTCTTGTCCCAGAAACACGGTTTATGGGATCTCTTCACAAAAATGTTTTTCGAATCGTATGAACAATTTGTCTGATTTCAAAAATCATTCTATAAACCATTCTATTTGTTTTATTATAAACATTGATTACTTAATTCTCAAATATTCCTTGCTAGAAATTGTTTGTCATTAAATAATTTTACATCTTTGGTTTACAGATGTGTGAAAAAGTTCGTATTGTGCATAGCGGATTTTGAGATGAGAATGTTTATAAAAATGGACAGGCAGAGATGAACTTTATGCGCTTGGGGAGTTTATCGTATGAAGACTTTTTAAATAGAGTTAATGACATTTTGGTGGAGACAAACACACATGTGAGTATCGATTTCACTTCTTGATGGCAAATGAAAATGGAGAGTTGGAAAAATGGAGAATTTCTTGTGAATCTGACTTGCACAATTTGGCCGAATTGTTCCAAGTACCTACTATATATGTTACATTCTTGCCAAAGATCGTGGAGTAAGTGGATTTTCTACTCAACCACCAACCAACTTTCATTCTTTTGCGGGGGGGCAAGGAGGATTTTTTGAACTTAATCGGTATATGGCTATGTACATTAATACTACAAGACAACAACCTTGCGCAGACTTTATGAGCCGATAATCATGCCCATTGCTCATCATAGCGAGTGGATTTTACCGGAAGAGGTTAGGGCATTGGTTGTTCAATCACCTACTAATCCAAAACAAGCCGGACGACCAAGGATTATCCGTATACCATCCACTGGGCCTTCTTCACGTTCAGGAAGATCATCATTTTGTACACATTGTAATGAACGTGGGCATTACTCCACGACTTGTTGTCGTGTTGTCCCTCAAGTTGATCCCTCGACTGTCGCTTCATCATCAGGAAAAAAAGTTCGTAAGTGTGCAATATGTAGACAACCCGGCCATACTAGACGCACTTGCACACAAGTGCAAATGTAATCATCGTTAATGAACGTTTTTCTTTTTCCTTTTTTTTTTCCAAAACTTATGTTATTTGTTTGAATTATTTGTGTGTGGTTATTGACTTTATGGGATAAATTGTTGTATGTATTTTTGTTATGTTCATGTAGTCATCGTTTTATAATTTATTTGTTTTTATATTCTTTTAAGCTCTAGGTGTAGTTGTTTTTTATTCATTCTTAGTGCCTAAAGTCGCTAAAATTGCCCGTGTGTGTGTCGTGCCGGGAAACCACGTGAATGGTGAATTGTTCGGAGTCAATGGGCAAAGGATTGAATTTGTGCCGAGCTCCCGACTTTAGATATATTAGTATATATTAGCCTATTTCTCTCATTTAAAAAAAAATATTTGTTTGAATGCCGAGCAAGCGAGGATTGAGTTTTCAGCTTGGGCAATTTGTGCTTTGTTTGAATGCATTAGGCACAAGCACACACTATTGTTCCATTTTTAGTTTTAATAAAAAATATATATAACAATCGCGACCCACGGAGGAACTCGCGACACGCGGTGAAGAACATAATCCTCAGGCTTACAGACTTACCTCTGTCACGACTCGCGGAAGAACTCGCGAGTCGCGGTGAAGAACAGGCTTCCCAGGGTCGCAAAGAACAGGCCTATAAAATTAACAGCACAAACCAAACATTAAACAAAAAATGTTGTGGCACATGTAACAACATATTACTCTCCTCCGAGAATAAACATCCAACAAGGAGTCGTTATCATCAACAATTGGGATTGAACTAACTTGTGCTGAAAATTACAACATCTATGTGATAATGAGTTGGGCTGGGATTAGTTATGTCAAATACTTCGTAAAACATTATGCATATATAACAAAGCATTTGAAATATTTTTTTTTTTCGCATAAAATTGTTTCGCAAAATCTACAAAATCTATAGTTGAAAAACCCTCGGAGTTCGATATATATGACATATCATGTCCACAGCCACCAAATCTACAGAACAAGCTCTTTCACTAATAGAGAAAGTGATTACAGTTACACGAAACTAGTTCTCCTTATAAATTAAAAACATAGCCTTGTGCAGCAAAAATCACTTCAACCGCCAACAATTTGAACACGGATCATTTTCAAGACAAAATATACTATCCAATAATAAAACTTCCTCATGTAATAAATTTAGAGTGGCCTAAGTGAAGAACTTGGTCTCAACATTGCCAGTGGCTGTCGATTGGCCTCCCCAATTTTCGGAACCCACGTCCCCAACGGAATTGCATAGATTGGAAACTGAAGTATTGGCAATGAGCTTGGGGAATGTTTAAAGAACCCGCAAATACCTGTGCAACAACTAAAAATGTTAGTTATGAAAGTGATATCCTTTAGACTGTCATCAGGCCCAGCCTACAAAAGTCTCATTAACTTGAATTAAATAAGAATCTTATATCTATAAGTTAATGTTATTCAGCAAGAATACTGATCGCCTGTAAACCAAAAGGGCACTCAGGGCTCCTTTCTTCTCCTCTTTTTTTTTTTTCCCTTATCTGTTGAGTAGAAACATTATCAAAAATACTCATAACATTATCAAACATTGTTATTCGCAGCCATCTTTCTTAAATAATCATCATATAACAAATCTTTCTTAAGTGACTGCAAATTCAACAATTTTATGCATTAAAAAATATTAGACTAACACTTGCTCAAAAGCCCTAGAAGAATAAACAAACATAAAGCTGAATTGTAGCTCTACATACAGATTAAATCTCATTAGAACGTAAACAATCAATACATATTTTCCAAATATGAAGATGTCCATAATGGAAAAGAAGTGTACCCATAATCCACATCCACGAACTATAATTGTTTTGGTCCGAGCAGCAAAATTTAGATACAAACATTCAACAGAATAGCCACATGGATGTGATGACTTACTTGCACAAGCTGGCTGGAACCTCCTTGCCCACCAATTTGACTATTCAGATAAGACTTTGCTTCTTTCCAAGCAGATATAGTATGTGACTCATGTTCTTCCTCGATCAAATTGGATCCATTACTGCCAAGCTGCCACAAAGAAAAAATCATATGGTCAAAATAGAGACTTCGGTTTTGCTTAACACTTTATTTTGAAGGTACCAATATCATACAAAAAGAACATCCACAACCATAGTTGTAAATGGCGAACGGCGAGGCGAGGCGATTGGCCCTTGGCCTCGCCACGAGGCGAGGCGATTCGCCATGGCGAGGCCTCGGTTACACATGTCACCAAAATGTAACAAAACAATATTATAGCTTGTGCAATTATATATTTATGTTCAAATGATAAAATAACATCAAATATCTCCAAAAAAGGCAAGAACACAAATGAAACACAAGTCAATAGCACAACCACACATAGAAATTGGCACACACATAGTTAAATACTAGAAATAAGCAACAAGTCCATAGCACAAACACTAAGAAAGTAGAAATAATACAAAAAGTTTTAAGTTTGGCACCCACATAGTTAAGTACTAAAAATAAGCAACAAAAGAGAAGCAATAAGAAAAATAATAAATAAACATATATAAATATTATATTTTCAATTAATTCCCACAAGTAAAGACAAATTTTTATAAAATTAATGGGTCCATTCTAAACAATTGATGCTATTCACACGCATCTAAATATAAA